GAGGCAAGAGGATCGTTGCGAGTTCGAGGCCAGCCTGGGCTACAAAGTGAGCTCAAGGCCAGCCTGAACTGCATAGCGAGACCCTGTCAAAAAAGACAAAAAAAAAGCAAAAGCACGTAAGGGACATGATGTAAAAAATGATCCCCAGTCCTGCCAAAGGGAAATATGCCCTCTTGTAGAAATTTAAAAACCAGAAGGCACTGCACTGGCCACTCTGGAAGCTGCAGCTGTGCAGGCGGCTGGTCACACGGTCACTCAGCGTCCCCTGGTCAGATGCTGTGGAGGTCGAGCTTATGCAGCAGCTCCAGCTGGCTAAGGGATGCGGAGCGAGCTGATAGGCCTACTCGGGGTGTATCTGTCAGGAAGTTTCTGGAAGAATGCAGCATTTGAATCAGGAGAGTGAGTGAGGAAGAGACACTGCCCCCAGTGTGCAGGGGTGAGCCTGGTGCCGTACATACGCATGCAATTCCAGCACTCGAGAGGCTGAGGCAGGAGCACTGCCTCGAGCCGAGGCCAGCCTGGGCTGCATAGCGCAATGCTGTCTCCAAAAAAATAACTAAAAAACAAAAATCAGAAGATTCAATTTATAAATTGGAAAACGTACACAGATTTCTGCATAACGATTTTTTTCCCTTGGCCCATCGTGTACCCGAACATGGAGCAGGATTCGCTTACGAAAATATTTACAAGCATCTACTGCAGTGCAGTCGGCACTTGTTTGAGTGCTGCATTCATATTTAATTTTGTATCATTTCTGAGCTAATTTATTGGCATATTTTCTGCATTCCGCTGAGAGATGTAACGTAAATCACATCAATAATAAATGGCACGAGGGCTTTTTATATTTCTTTCCGAGCTATCATTTAAAGATAATTTAAATGGGAATTGTAAATGCATTATTGAAGATAAGACTTTCTTAATGTCTGCTTCGGCAACCAGGAGGAAATACGATGTGATTTTAATTATATTTACGTCTCGGGTTTTGACACAGTGTGCCTGTTATGACCTCTTTTGAAGGGCACCACCTCATAACGTGTTTTCAGCCACCACCTCATAAAGTGTTTTCAGCCACCTGTGAAAGCACAGACATATCCAGACAAGTACTTCGAGCGAGAGAAGCGTAGAAACAGGTTTATTGTAGGAAACAAGAAATTTCCCTGAGGGCATGGGCAGGGTGCAGACCCCAGCTCTTCAGGTGGGCAATATGTCTGTGGTTTGTCGCC